GTGTGTGAGGGTGCTGTGTGTGAGAGGGTGCTGTGTGTGTGTTTGTAAGGGTGGTTTGTGTAAGGGCACTGTGTGTATGAGAGGGTGCTGTAGTGTGTGTGTGTGTGTGTGTGTGTGTGTGTGTAAGGGTGGTGTGTGTGTGAGGGAACTGTGTGTGTGAGGGTGCTGTTAGTGTGTGTGTATGTGTATGTGTAAGGGTGCTGTGTGTGTGTGTTTGTGAGGGTGGGGTGTGTGTATAAGGGTACTGTGTGTAAGGGTGCTGTGTGTGTGGGGGCTGTTAGTGTGTGCTGTGCTGTGTGTGTGTGTGTGTGTGTGTGTAAGGGTGCTGTTAGTGTGTGTGCTGTGTGTATATGTAAGGGTGCTGTGTGTGTAAGGGTGATGCATGTGTAAGGGTGCTGTATGTGTAAGGGTGCTGTATGTGTGAGGGTGCTGTTAGTGTGTGTGTGCTGTGTAAGGTGCTTTGTGTGTATTGTGTGGGGACCAGTTAGTTAATATTCCCCTCCCTTCTTACCTTTTGTAGGGAGGGGGGACCATGCTGCTGCCATCCCTGGTGGTCCAGTGGTGAGTGGTCCGTGGCAACGCTCCGACCTCGTGAGAGGAACCTGGCGGAGGTGCTAGCTAGAGCTCCCCAGGTCCTCTCCTGCCTCCCTCCCTGTCTGTGGGTCAGGGAGGGAGATCTTTCATCTCCCTCACGTGCCCATGGAGGCACATAGCGCAGGCCGTGGGGATTAGGGTGTGATGATTGTTTTCCCTTTTTCTTTATATCTTACAGAATACTAGCACTTTATGGAAGGGAAGTATATTTGGGAGCTTATCTGTGCTTCCCAAATGTACGTGGGATTTGGAAATAAAGGAGCTTATTTGCTGGGCTTTCTTTGATCATAAAGGATTAATAAAATGCTTTTTAAAATATTAAATAATTTTAAAAGTTTACCAACAATTTGAAAAGATTATCCAAAAGTATTAAATAAAGGCCTATATGTGTGCTAGTAGTTCAGTGTTGACCGGATTTTGTACACTCCCACTGCCAGATGGCCACCTTACACACCCCAAACAGGGTAACATACCCATGGATGGCAGCCTTTTTGCGTCCATGGGCCCTCCAATAATAAAAAAAAGCCCTCTGCAAGATGACCCCCATTAATTCTTACTCCTTGTCCCCCAACTCCTTAGAATCTACACAGTTGTTGTGTTGTCACTACAGGAGGGAGGCATTTAATTAGTACCCAGAAAGTGGGCAATATGGCTGGGTCCCCCTGAACACACACGCTGTTACCCCTAATGGAAGTACTGGTAACTTATAGTGGAATCTGGAATGGGCTATTTTATCTTTCTTAGAATTCAAAATAAATTTTAAAAAATTGTGTTTTGCCTTGGAAAACACAATTTCCTTCTTTTTCACTGCATTGTTTAAATGTATGTGCACATAACTTATATAATAATCTTATAAATAGTTTTTTTTTTTAAATAAAACACACTTGAAAGAGACTAACTAGTAGTGTTTAATTCTTAAATATGAAGTATAGGTGCTCACTATATCTTAAAAGAGGGGTGAAGGCAGCAGATAATCACACAAGATTTCCCCAACCTTGTGAGAGTTAGAATACAACAGAAAGGATAATGCGCGCCTCTGGTTACAAACAGATATAAGTATAAGTACATAACCTAATCTACAAAAACATATAAGGTAGTACACGCTGTTCCAAATTATTATGCAAATTATATTTTTCTCATTTACCTAAAAAATTTATGTAAATAACAGTCAGCATAATTCTCATGTTATCAACTATTAAGAGTACATTTCAAGTTTTATTGAACAAACCTCCTAATGATAACAGTATTTTTTTTTTTAAACATAAAAAACTTACAATGCACTGTTACAAATTATTACGCACAGTAAGTTTCAAAACACTTTATAGGTTATAAAGAACTGAAAATTGTCATTTGTTGTGTTTGCAGCATATTTATTGAAATAAAAAGCTATTTCAATCAAACTTATAACAACATTTTAACTTTTTAAACATTTTAACAGTTCACGTTACATTTTAACATAGGACCCCTTATTTGATAGCAGCTTCACAAGTCTTGTATCTATTGAACTTGTGCGTTTTTGGACAGTTTCTGCTTGAATTTGTTTGCAAGATGTCAGAATAGCCTGCCAGAGCTGCTGTTTGGATGTAAACTGCCTCCCACCCTCATAGATCTTTTGCTTGAGGATGCTCCAAAGGTTCTCAATAGGATTGAGGTCAGGGGAGGATGGAGGCCACATTATAACTTTCTCTCATTTTATGCAGAAGTATTCTTTGCAGCATGAGATGGTGCATTGTCATGCATGAAGATGATTTTATTACGGAAAGCATAGTTCTTCCTTCTGTACCAGGGAAAAAAGGGTCAGTCAGAAATTCCACATACTTTGCAGAGGTCATCTTTACACATTTGGGGACCCTAAAGGGGCCGACCAGCTCTCTTCCCATGATTCCGGCCCAAAACATGACTCCACCACTGCCTTGCTGACATCGCAGCCTTGTTGGAACAGGGTGGCCATCCAACAACCATCCACTACTCCATTCATCTGCACCATCCAGGCACTCATCAGTGAACAGGACTGTTTGAAAATTAGTCTTCATGTATTTTTCTGCCCAATGCAGCTGTTTCTGCTTGTGAGCACTGGTTAGTGGTGGCCGAATAGAAGGTTTATGCAAAGTTGCAAGACTCTGGAGGACTCTACACCTTGATGTCCGTGAGACTCCACAGGCACCAGCAGCTTCAAATATCTGTTTGCTGCTATGTAATGGTATTTTAGCAGCTGCTCTCTTGATCTGATGCATGGATCTGGCAGAAATCTTCCTCAATGTGCCTTTATCTGCACGAACCCATCTGTGCTCTGAATCAGCCAAAAATCTCTTAATAGTGCGATGATCACGCTTAAGTTTTCGTGAAATATCTAATGTTTTCATACCTCATCCAAGGCATTGAACTATTTCACCCTTTTCAGCAGCAGAGAGATCCTTTTTCTTCCTCCATATTGCATGAAAATGGTGCTCTGCTTAATAATGTGGAACACCCTCCTTTAGTAGTTTTTGTATATGCATTTATATTTTTAATAAGTGCCTTGCATTATTAGAACTTTCACAATTGCATTCAATTTCACTATTAGAACTTTCACAATTGCATTCAAATCCTTCTGGATACCCATTCTTATTTAATATGGGATGAGATGAACCCTCCCAACAACATAATTGGTACCTGAATGGGCGGACATCCTCATTGGATTTGCATACGGACTGCTGGAAGGACCAATCACAGACCTGTTACTACTTTAACACCACCTCTGACTGATATTTGAATGGCGGAATATTGTGGGAAACCAATCAAAATGTTTTTTTTACCATGTGTTAACTATTACTGCCATTAAGGTTGTTTGTATATAAATGTCATCTGTTTGAGAGTCAATTCACACTTCTGATGAAACCCCATGGTCAAACGCGTTAAAGGACCACTCTAGGCACCCAGACCACTTCAGCTTAATTAAGTGGTCTGGGTGCCAGGTCCTTCTAGGGTTAACCCATTTTTTCATAATTATAGCAGTTTCAGAGAAACTGCTATAATTATGAATGGGTTAAGCCTTCCCCCTAATCCTCTAGTGGCTGTCTCATTGACAGCCACTGAGGCGCTTGCTGCTTCTCACTGTGAAAATCACAGTGAGAGCACGCCAGCGTCCATAGGAAAGCATTGTAAATGCTTTCCTATGAGACCGCTGAATGCGCCTCTTGCCGCTGCGCATTCAGGGCGGGCGTAACGGAGGAGAGAGGAGGAGAGCTCGCCCAGCGCTGGAAAAAGGTAAGTTTAAACCCCTTTCCCCTTCCAGAGCCGGGCGGGAGGGGGTCCCTGAGGGTGGGGGCACCCTCAGGGCACTATAGTGCCAGGAAAACGAGTATGTTTTCCTGGCACTATAGTGGTCCTTTAAGTGTGCTCTTACTTATTTTGGATTTTATAACATAAAACAACGTTTAGCCTTTTAAATGTAAGATCTGAATTTATTTGGTATTTACTTTTTAAATCCTCTGGTTTCCTGAATTCCATTATACTTCCAGTTCTACATATCCTAGGTGGGGATTGTACCACCAACGCCCTACTAAACTAGAGCAGGTCTATGCTCTATAAAATTTGAGTACAATACTTATTTTATCTAAGAAAGGAAAAATGTACCATACATACTATACTATTGGATGTTCACACTTGTGTCTTCGCATATCGCACTTCATTGAGAAAAATACCATCATCCCTGCTGAATCCACCATCACTACTGCAGGGAATATATCCGTAGACGGGGATTATACCGTCCACGTCCTTAACAGCAAAGCTCTATATAGCTCTTGAAAGTGTGAGAGATTATGTGTTATCTTTGCTTTTGTTTCTAAGAGATTCATCTATCAACAAGATTCTGTTGTATCCATATATGTATATACTTATATCTGTTTGTAACCACAGGCGTAGATTATCTCTTTCCTTTCTGTTTAATTCTTAAATGCAGGATGCAGATTAGCAGTCATAAGAATTCACATGTTTTTTGACTACATATTAACTGGGATTACATTCTGTACTTTACCAAATTTATTATAGACAGACTGAAATGGAAAAATCAATCAAAGTATTGATTATTTCTTTGTGTATCTGCCCCCGGCCAAATCAATGAAACGATGCGTGCACGCTCCCTGAAGTAATTCACACCAGACACAGGTTCCAGGTTGTTGAATAACTTGAGGAATGTTTATTCAGAGGGGACGGCAGGTCCCTTTTAAAGCAAAATTACATCATAAGCATTGTCAGAGATAACATGGAATAATACATCAATAATTGGTTAGGTGTTAAGTGGTTGCTCTAATGCTCTGCCTACTGAGGTGATGTCACCAGGGCCATGAGGGTCTCCCACGGTTTCCCGGCGCCATCTTGCTGCACGAGGTAGTTAGTTGGTGTTAAGAAGGGAAGGGGGGTGAGGAGGGGTTAGAAGCTTCTAGCAGCCATTTTGATTAAAACATGTGTGCTCAGCTTTATATATGATATATCGTGGAATGAGTAAATAGACATTTTCACTAACTAGGAAATATGTGCAGACCTTATTTCCACAACAGTCCCCCTTAAAATGGCTATTTACCATAACAACTGCTGCTGTCCCTAATATGTCCCTAGCTGCCTGCAGCTCATCTGTCTTAACAAGCATCGAACACTTCACTCCGTGGGTAACCCGCAGCGGCTAGTCCACCACATCTCCACACGTGAGACTCGCCTGCCAAGACAGACGCTTTCCCTACACTGTCCCTACAGGAGAGCAGTTGTCTGTTTGAACTGATATGATTGGAGGGGTGTATGTGGAGTGTCATCTTTGAGGTCTATGATGTCTTGATGTAGGAAAGTAGGGGTCACGTCATCTATAGTCTTATCTACCACTTTCTGTAAGTACTTCTGTATGCAAGGGAGCACGCAACAGGTTAAAAATAAGAAGATGCTAATCATTATAAGAACAGCTGTCCCTACCTGGAAGAGAGTCCTTTGCCAACCATTCATCCACCCAAACCATCTGTCCCAAGTGTCAGTGACTCCTGAATTTTTCTTTAGTTCATCAGAAAGACTATCTAGCTTTTCTATGGCCGTAGTCACCTTACCATTTGGCCCAGTGTTGTCTGGAATGTATGTGCAACATGTCATAGTCTCAGGGAGGATCTTACATACTCCCCCTTTCTCAGCTAAAATCATATCCCGGCCATTCTGTTCTGAAATGTCATTTGAGTAGTGGCTTGTAACTGTTCTGCTAGGCCCTGCAGGGCATCCCTTGTGTAGTTAACGAAGCGCTGCTGATTATAATAGATGTAGTTGATCCAATTGACATTTTTGTTAGCAGTTATCATTGGAATTAGGGATTCAAATCCTGCAGCCACTTCATCTCTTGCTTTGAATTCGTTAGGCACCCCCCTTGGCACACCTATGGCATCAATATACACATGGGGGTCGAAGCTCCCTCGGATAGGAGCCTCTCGTTTGGTTCTAGAGTGTACATGTGTAAGGTTTAACGTGTTATGACTACCATCTGGAATAATGTGGATAGGCATTATGACTTTGGTTAGGGCACACTCCCCCCACCATTGCCCAGCTAATTGGGACCTCAATTGTTTGTCACCACATAACCAATAGATATCACCGATTGTCTTTGTGTGGTTCATTAGCAGTGATACAGGTGGATTATGGTAAGTTGAACAGTATCCTGATGGGAATTTGCCCAGATACAAACCAGCATTCTTAGGTATTGTATAACATGTGTATTTACCTGGGTAGACGGTGACTCCATCAGGTGGTTTTACATGTCCATGAGTGATTGGGTAAATTCTCTTCCATGATTCACATGTTGAGGAGTTGGTGGTGGATTGTGCATAAAGACTCAAAACACATAATTCTACTTCAGGGGGTAAGCTCAGAGGTACTGTACCCAGATGGGGCCTGGCTCCTCCACATACATAACAGTTAGTCTTATTATGTGAGTTAGCATTATACCTCATCCATTCTAGCCACAAATTAGTGTCTGAAAACCCAGTCTCTACTGCCATGGTATCTTCAAAGGTGGGGTTGGCTATAGCTACCATGTCATGTAGGGTCTTAATATGTGGCTTTAATGGGTTAATGATCATGTGAGTGGTCCCTACCCAGTCTGGGGAGGTGAGCATGTCTTGTAGGTAAAATGTCCCCAATGCATTATGTGAGCCACCTCCCTTCCAATACATTCCCATCACATATTCCCCTGCATCCCTTGGGCTGGGGTGTTCTATATTCAGGGTAAGTTTAATGGGAGTTGACCCTATGGGTTTACTCAGAGTCATTCTAGAAAGAAGGGGTTTCCCATCTTTGTCAAGTCTGTCCAGTGCAACTTGAGGTCTGTAGCCCCATGGTCTACCTGTATTCCACCCGGCAGCTTTCCATGAACTACAATGGTGTCCCCAAACTCCTCCAGTCACACAAATGTATGGATCCTTTTTGTTAGGTATGTCTAACATATTGTGTTTGTGGAAATGTACAAGTAACTATGTCACAGTAATCAAAGGTGTATGTGGCTACATCAGTATTAGAAGAATTGTACCAGAAAGTGTAAACGTGATTATCTTTGGTTATGGCCACTTGTTGGGCCCAGGCAAAGTGTAGCAGCATAAGAAAACACAAGACACATAATAAATTCATATTTCAACAGGATCAGCCTCTTCTGGAGCAGGCACTTTTTTTGCAATGTGAAGCGTGTATCCAAGAACTCTTTCCAGCTAGTTTAACTGACGTTGCTGTAATCAGGAGCACTTGATAAGGACCATCAAATCTCGGTTCTAGGGTGTGTTTTCTGAGAAACTTCTTGACCATAACCCAATCACCCGGAAGCAGCTTGTGTGTACCTGTATTCGACTCAGGATCTGGAATAGAATAAAACACTTGGGCATGTATCTTGGTCAAGGCATGTGAGAGGGCAGTCACATAGTCTACCATAGCATCTGACTGAATCTGAAGCTGTTGGGGAAAGTAGCAACCTAACCTGGGTGCTGTACCAAACAAAATCTAAGGTGACAAGCTATATTTTCCTCTGGGAGTGTACCTTACACTAAATAATGCTAGTGGGAGACTCTCGGGCCAGGGCATGTTAGTTTCTTGTGACATCTTAAGCATTCTGGCTTTCAAAGTGCCATTCATGCGTTCTACCTTACCGCTACTTTGTGGGTGGTATGGTGTGTGGAATGCAAGGGTCACCCCCAGTGCTGACCAGACTTCCCGTGTTAGCGAGGCAGTGAAGGAGGTCCCTTGGTCACTTTCAATTACTTCTGGAACTCCATAGCGGCAAACAATTTCTGTCAAAAGATACTTGGCTGTAGTCCTCGCGGTGAGATTAGTCACTGGGAAGGCCTCTGGCCATCCTGAAAACATGTCCACTATGACCAATGCATATTCATAACGTCCACTCTTTGGCATCTGAATGTGATCAATCTGGATCCTCTGGAAGGGGTATTGTGGTTTAGCTAGGTGATTAGGTGCGGTCTTTATGATCTTTCCAGGATTGCATTTAGCACATATAGTACAAGATTTACAGTAATTCTGTGTTAAGGTAGTGATGCCTGGCGCTTCGAAATACTTGTCAATCAGTGAGTTCATCAGGAGTTTCGACAGGTGGGCTGGCCCATGGGCCCATTGGACCACCGCTGAGTACATACTTCTGGGTAAGCAGAACTTGAGATTGATGGTGTAAACATCATCACGTAGTACAGCTCCTTTATTCTTCCAACTTTGTTTCTCCTGGGGAGTAGCAGCAGCTTGTTGTTCCTTCAGAAGCCTAAGATCTGTAGGCAATGTTTGCATAGTGTAGATGGGTAATGTATCTGTGGCCACTCTTCTGTCCACTTCCCATCCTTGCCGTGCTGCTTCCTTAGCTGCCTGATCAGCTAAGTGGTTGCCCCGTGCTTCTTCTGTGTCTAGTCTCCCGTGGGCTTTTACTTTCAGTACTGCCACCTCTGCTGGAAGTTCCAATGCATCCATCAGTTCTGCAATGGCTGCCCCATGTTTTACTGGGGTATTCTCTGGTCTTCCAAATTAAGCCAAAGTCATGTGCTACTCCCAAGGCATATCTTGAATCCGTGTAAATATTGACACGTAGACCTTCAGACAATTTGCAGGCCACAGTCAGGGCTGTTAGCTCGGCTTCTTGAGCAGACTTAGCTGGTTGTAGGGCAGCTGCTTGTAATACTTGACATCCTGTGGTGACTGCATACCCAGTGTGATATTGTCCCTGTTCATCAGCAAATCTTGACCCATCCACAAATAGTGTTTGATCCGGGTTGAGTAATGCAGCTTCATAGACAGTTGGTAGGTGTGTAGTTTCCATTTTCATTTGTTCAAAACAATCATGAGGAATATCTAGGTCACAGTCTGTGGTGAGTGGATCTTCACAGGCTTCTGTGTGGTACCTTGGGTACCCTGCTGTACAGTAGTTAATAGTCTTTTTGTTGATCCCCGTAGAAGTCAGTTGTTCTTGGGTCATTTGGCTCCAGGTTTTGGCCATCGGGCCTAGGTCTTTCCATGAGGTGTCGGGGGATCTGGTGAGAGATATGTGTGGGATAGCTGTTTCCCAATGATGATAGAGATGTGTTACATTCTCTGGAAGATGGACTAAGATGAGCATGGTACCTGTGGGGTCCCAGAATAAGTCAGTCAGGGTAATTTGAATTTCTTTAAGCTGGAATAGTTCTTCCTCATAGTTCATATCAGGGCCTGGTATGTCCTTAAACCACAAGGTACAGTGAAGTAGGGCCTCTGATTGTTCATCATGTGGAGGTGCAAGTGCAGGCAGCTGCAAATCTGTTCGAACCTCTGGGTTGATATCCAGGCTATACCAGTAATGCACAACTCCCCCCCTGGGAAGTGTCAGAAGAGTGGCTGGGTTCAGGGAAAGACATCTCTGGAGTTTCACATTGTCAGGTAGAAGTAAGGAGGTTTGCAGACGGAGGTGACGTTGGGAGGAAAGGTGTTTAGGTTGAACTTGTTGCAGGATTGCAGTAATGTCATGAGGGGCCAACACTGTGAGGTGATGGCCAAGAACAAAATCATTTGTCTTGTCTAGGAGGGCGCTGGCGGCAAACACCGCTCTGAGGCAAGAGGGGCTACCCCTCGCAACAGGGTCAAGCATGCAGGAAAAATAGCCAATAGGTCGTTGCCGTGACCCATGTTTCTGGGTAAGGACTCCGGAAGCATGTCCTGACTTTTCAGAGACAAACAAATTGAAAGGAAGTTGGTAGTTGGGTAGGCCCAAAGCAGGTGCAGAAGCAATAGCTCTTTTCAGATTGTGGAAACAGGTGATTGTTTCTTCAGTGAGGTGAAAGTGCTCACTCCTGAGGGCATCATAGAGTGGCTGCATGAGCTTTGATGCTTCGGGTATCCAGGACCTGCAATATGTGATAAGACCCAAAAAGGCATGAAGAGTCTGATGTGTCGCAGGTAAAGGGAGTTGCAGAATAGCTTACACACATTGAGAAGTTAGATGTTTGGTGCCATGGGAAAGGCAATGTCCCAAGAAGACCACAGAGGGCCGGCACCATTGTAGCTTTGATTTTGAAGCTTTGCAACTGGCTGCAGCGAGGAAACATAGGAGATCTTCTGAGTCACGCTCTGCAGTGGGCAAATCAGGAGCACAGAGAAGGAGATCATCAACATATTGAAGCAGGACAACATCCAAATGAGATTTCTGCCAGGGATCCAGAACCAGGGACATGGCATGAGCAAACTGTGTGGGGGAATTCTGAGCCCCCTGAGGCATAACAGTCCAGGTATATTG